TACATAAAGCCCACATTTTTTGTGCAAAATATAAAAATTTGAACTCCCCTACCAAATCTAAATTCATGTGCCCAATGCAAAAAAATAGTTGGTAAGAATAGAAAGAGAAAAGAGAACACATGCTTCTCTACTTCTTGAAGTTAAAATAGGTGCAAATCACAAAATAAAACTGAACCACTACATAAAATTCCAAAGGAAAATCATTTAATACATGACTAAAGGTAAAAAAAAGTCAAAAAATGGCAAAAATACAAAATTTGCACAAAAATTTCCTTTTGTGTGCCTATTAAGGCAAGATAACAAATTTCTCACATTTCAAAACAGGATTACCATCGAAAAAGGGATAAAAAGGGTTGCAGTTTACAGAAGAGATAAGGATTCAATGACAAAAAAGATTACACCTTTGAAAATTGAAAAAAAGGGTAAAACTTTGAGGAAGCAATATTTGCACAAGACAGAAAATATAAAAGCACACCAACTTAATTTCATCAACGCAATACTGAATAGGAATATCTCAGCACAAATGGGTTTCTTGTTTTCTACAGGTTGATGTCTCGAGGGCTTTATGTAGTCTTTTACTGGAAAGTTAAACTTGAGTGTTTCTTTCATTCAAATTCTTCTTTGGAATACACAGAGAAGAATTTTCTGTCCTGGGGCTTGAATTTGGCTATAGCTGTCAGCATTTCTTTCATTCCATGTTATGATTTATGACCCCTTCTTTCCATGTTATGATTTATGACCCCTTCGTCTGTTCTAATCCTATGGCCTTGAAATGAGGATGCTTCAAAGCTTCTTCCTTGATGAATAATTGCTTTTTGAGGCCATCCACTAACCACAGTCATTGTATTCAACAAACATGTTCATACTGGCTCCATCCAGGTTTTCACAAGGGGCTTGAGAGTACGTCTTTCATTGGCCCATAAATAAGAAAATATTTTTCTCAATAAATTCAAAAAATGAATCCGTAACAATTCACAAAGTAATGATTTTAGTGGCTCTTTAACTACTAATTTTAAAATAGATTTTCACACAACTGTAACAAATGCTTTTTACAATCTGTCTGGCTTAAGATTAACCTTTTTTCAAAGGTACATGTAAATAAATAAATAAATAAAAAACAACCTAGACAATTAAACATTTATTTACTACAATAAAAATTAAGTTAAAAATTAAATTTTTATATATATGGCGAATTGGCTGAAGGAAAAAGACTAGTGCACAAATTGAAAGTAAGCTATAACAATTGACTCAAGAAAACACTGAAGAAAATTAACTGGGAAAACCTGACTCTTCATTCTGGAAGAGATTAGTACACAATAGTAAGGGTGACTTTTAACAGAATTATGTTGAGCTTGAAAAACTTGAAAGATATTCGTGAGTCACAAAACTACTGGGAGTCAAGTATATAACAACTACATCATATCCTTGTGCCATTGGCTTAGTCAAAATTTTTTCACAGGGAACTTAAGGCAGAACTAACAGCAAATAACTATTCCTGGACATGGTTAGAAAATTTACCACTGGTTTTGCTATCCATCAGCCATGTAATGAAAATTTACCACTGGTTTTGCTATCCATCAAACATATAATCAAGGAAGATTTAGGATGCACAGTCTTTAGGACTACTGGGACAGTTTTGCAATAAAATCAGTCTCCTACAGCCAAACACATTTAATGTACAAAACATCAAAAAATGTGTGATCTAGTTTTCACACCAACTAGAACACAAGCAAAAAACCTTTACACATCAAAGTATCTTCTCAACTGTGAATATATTTTCTTATGAAATGATGCAGTAAAAAGTCCTCTTTGCCCTACATTCTCAGGACATTTTCAAGTAGTTGAGAGAAAACCAAAATATTTTACCATTATAAAAACAGGTAAACAAGATTCCGTCTCCATAGACAGACTAAAACCAGCATACTTGCATTTACCTTCAAAGAACAGTATAACAAAACATTCTATACCCCCACCAAATACCAAGGTGTGCAAATTATTTTCTACACTGGCAAACACTCCTAAAGGTCACTACAAAATCAGGTAGATAAATAAGTTGGCCTATCAACTCTAAAACATATATTAGATATTGAAAAATATTTTCAATATTTATCAATGTGCAGGTGTTTTTATTGGATATAAACTCCTACATTTTACACCCAATAATGAAGCAAAGTACAAACAAGTAAGGGATGCCTACAAATAAATGTCACTAAATTCAGTAGATACAAAAACCTTTTTTTTACAATTGTGTGCAAACATGGCTCCAAATTAAATAAGTGATTTATGGAACCTGATTGGATAGGACAAGTCATATGATGTGCTTTCCATGATGTCCATGTAGTTGAACTCCAAATGACCTGAAAATGAGTCAGGGCTCAGGTTACTAAGTATGTTCCTGTGCAAAATTCAGATAGGATTTGTGAGCTGAGCACTGGCTTGCCATAAGCCATAAAAACAGCTGGCTGTTAACAATGAAAAGAAATCTGCAAAGGAAACAGTCAGTGACCTGATCTATGAAAGACAATCACTGAACCAGGCCAGACAATGCCTCGATGAACAGCTGAGACACATGTTACCATGACAATAAGCCAGTCAGTGATGATTTTTCTACATGCAAAGGTGTGATAAAAGTAAGTCCTACATCCCCTCATTTTTAAAAAATTACTGCTATTGCATGCAATTGGACAGAAGTCACACATTTCATTAGCATATAATTCATACATACACACACACATACACCACTTGATTTCCTCACTTGTAACAAAAACGCTTCGAAACTTTGTTGACTAACATACAACAAATCATTTCGAAGAATTGAACTATTTGTCTCTTCATGGCCACAACAAAAAATATTGATTTTTTTTTTTATGTGTAAATATATCCAACTGTCATATTTAGCTTGTTTTTCTTCCTTTTCTGCAAAGATCATTTCTTTGTGTTGTATAAAAATATTGTGTTGTATTTGTGGACACAACACTCAAGTTTTATTTTTTCCGCCTAAAATCTGGGTAGACTAACCCCACAATATCAATATATTTATAAATCTTTAAACAGTGATTAATGTTTGTCTGAATCATTGCAAATAAATGACAATAAACATAACTTTTGATTATTCAGAATTCTTAGAGATAAATGTAAATAGAATCATTTGTCAATCAACATTAAGATATTTATGACTGTTATTGTTTCCAAGTAAGTTAAATAAATTTCTTTAATTAAATCTACAAAAAAGTTGCCATGATTTAAAAAAAAGACTTTGCAACATTGATAGATCCACAAGGGATTCAAAATCTCTCAAGAATGGAACTGTTTGGCTTACATCTAAATATCTGTGAATTGTTGGACAGAAAATATGAAACTGATATGCAAAGGTGCATCAGAAGAGCAAAATATGCCTTCCAAAAGCTAAGCAAATTATTATGAAACAGGAAAATTTCATTAGAAAAAAAGAAAAAGATTACTGAACTGTTATGTAATATCAGTCCTCCTGTAAAGCAGTGAATGCTGGAACAATCTCTTTCAGATGAAGAAAATTGAAGCAACAGAAATGTGTCTCTACAGAAAGATACTGAGTATATGATTAGCCAAACATGTGAGCAATGGCAAAGTTTTAGAGAAAATAGACACTTAAAATGAGAAAGAGATAGTTGAATTTTTAGGCCACATAATGAGGAAAGTGAACTTGGAAAATTTCATACACACAGGATAGATTGAAAGCAAGAGAGACAGAGAAAAACAGTGTATAAGCTAATTGTTGAGCTTGAGTAAATAGATGGTAGAACAGAGTTTAGGAGAGATGACAGAGACAACATTTATTAAGAGCCACAAAGGATAGGAAATTGTGAAGAGCCATGATTGCCAAGATCCTGAAGGGTCACAGCATATAAAAGAAGGGTGTTTATATCAGTTAATATTGACTTAACTATTTTTCCTCTTGATTAAAATTTGACTTTTCAACACTACCAGATTTAGCCATTGAACTGACAGCTGCCAGGTATGTTTTAACCAATACTTTCAACCATGACACTCAGTCAGTTATGTGCCATGCATGATACATGCTTAGGCGATCATGTATCTTTCGATACATGACTGATAAGGCAGATTTTTTTCCTGCAGTAGGTTGCCATTTCTTTCTGCAGTAGATTAGTTGCCATCCGAAGCTATAGAACCCGGTCTGTCCTATTTACCCATAGATGAGGAGAGAAGAATAATCATACCTTTCCCAAGGGTATTAGAATGCCAATGAATGTAATGGATTTGAATAGAATTCAAACTCGGCTCTCCAATTACTCAGTCCAAGCCACTATACATTACTCCACCATGCCTCACTGTTGGTTCAAAATTTCAAGAAGACATTTAAGTGTGACATATAAAAAAACTGAAAAAGCTGGTATGTACAATGGAATATTGAAAACATAACTATCAGGATGTGCTTGCTGGTGGGAATAGCAAAGCTTATAATAATATTTTTTTTTAGGTTGTATTAAAGGCTTTCATTAAATCAGCATCAGGAATGTGAGATGATACCTTTAAAATACCAGTCTCCTCTCTTACCATTGAGCCAAACTTTCAAATCCTTCTTCATCATAGTATTTATTAAGTTTCAATAAAAGATAGCAGCACTTGTTTACAGCAGAAAACTTGTAATCAGTGCTTGCTGATTCCCATCTGCTGTTAACTTGGCTGGAATAATGGGCCCATGTTATTTTTGGATTCTTCTCAATTTGGATAAGCAGAAGGCAAGAATTGATCTTGATTGGATGGTTTCAACATGCAATAGAAGCTTGGAAGTTGCATTTAAGATCAATGCCAGCCTTACTTCCTCTTCCTCATCCACTTGTACAAGATTCTGGTTGCCATCTTTTCAATACTGGGCATGTGGAAGAGCATACATGTTAATGTTTGTGCCAAGTTGGGAGCAGTGCATTACTATATTGCTTGCAGCCATAGATATTTTCTTAGTTCTTTTTTTTTTTTTTTAACATGTTCCTGTACACAGAATGTCAATTGCCATAATGCTCAGAATATTCATGTGAGAAATGTGTGCTTACATTGTCTCTTTTGTTCTCTGATGAGGTTTAGAGCTGGGGACTAGAGAGAAAAATAAAACTTCATATCCAAGTTGATATACAAAAAAAAAACTCTTTATTTAAATCATATATATGGTTTATTAAAGATAATAGAAACTATTTTTCTTTCTTCTGCTTCTCTCTCTTTTCTTTTTTGTACCGAGATATACATAATTTCATTGGGCATATCAGACTTTCTCTTAAACAACTTCTCTCTTTGTCTCTTCCATGGGTTTCTCAGTCTCACTTTTACTCTTATGTCTTAATCTTTCTCTCTCTCTCTCTCATATGTATCATGGTCTCCTTCTCTCTGTCTTATTTGTGTGGTATTAGTCTCTCTCACTCTCTCTCCCCACTTAAACATAGATTTTAGTTTTGCTCTCTCACTCTCACTGCATCTCCATCTCAATGTCTTCCATCACTATTTCTCTCAGTCCTCCTCACCCACTGCATCTCTGACATCTCTATCTCTCTCTCTCTTTGTCTTCACTCTACATGTCGTGGCCTTTTTTTTTCTCTCTCTCTCTCTCTCTTTGTCTTCACTCTACATGTCGTGGTTTTTTTTTTTCTCTCTCTCTCTCTCTCTTTGTCTTCACTCTACATGTCGTGGCCTTTTTTTTTTTTTCTCTCTCTCTCTTTGTCTTCCTCTACATGTCGTGGCCTTTTTCTCTCTCTCTCTCTCTCTCTGTCTTCACTCTACATATCGTGGCCTTTTTTTTTCCTCTCTCTCTCTTTGTCTTCACTCTACATGTCGTGGCCTTTTTTTCTCTCTCTCTCTCTCTCTCTCTCTTTGTCTTCACTCTACATGTCGTGGCCTTTTTTCTCTCTCTCCATTTTTCTTTCACATTGAAATTTTCCACTTTCTCTTCACTGAGTATATTGTCATGCTAGTATTTGAACTAAGTCTGACACAAGGTTCATATTTAGGGGAACCAGCAAGGATCACATTCATTGTTAAAGTTTTCAAAATGGACATCTTTACTATTGCTTTTTTTTTTTTTAAGTGAATATGCAAAAAAGATTAATTTTTTAAATCTAAAAAATGTTCAAATTTAAAAAAAAATTTACATGTAAATGATACAAGAGAATGTTCTTGTCTATTCAAAGTTTATTTTGTGAATTCAGCAGTAAAAACCACTTGTTATCAGGGTTGACATGAAGGAAAATATTATTTATACATTTTATACAGGAAGCCCAAAAATGTATAGATATTTTTTTTATTAAATACTAGCAGTAGAGCCCCTCGTTGCCCGGGGATGTAACAGTAAGAGATAGATCAAGTATCGACCATCATAAAATTGACAAAGATTATTGTTTAAGGTTGACGGACATGCATGTCTTAAATAGTTTTTTTTTTTTTTTTTTTTTTTACAAATTGGTCAAACCCAAACTCAAACGAAAACATTGTTTTCAATCGTTATGAGTCTACCAATTGAATAGAATTTTATTATAAACAATTGTCTTGTAAATGGAATTTTTAAAGCATTCTGAATGTAAAAATAAAGAAAAAAAGTGTGCAAGACAATAAGAAATACTACCTACCAAAAAAAAGTGAAGTTTTGTTGAAATCGGTTGAAAAATGTAGGAAATCTGATCCCCATATATAAACGAACATGAACACACACACACATAAACGACCTGGGTTTTATAATAAGTATAACTCGATATGAGTTGTCCCCCTTTCATTCTCGTGATGCCTCTTAATTGTGTTTTCAAACTGATTTTGTGCAAAAACAATTGTGTTTTTCCAATTTTTGGTGCTGTCAGGACCACCGCAAGGTAATTTTACATAGTCCTGTGAAGTTTTGATGAAATCGGTTGAAAAATGTAGGAAATCCGATCCAATATATAAACGTACAGACACACACACACAATCTTCATTTTATAACAAGTAAGATCAATTTTTTTGTTATTACCTAAAAGTTAGTGAAATGCATTTATAACAGAGAGCAAATATTAGAATAAAATTTAAAAAGGAATATTAAATGTTTACATGATTTCAAGTTTTGAGATGAAGCACTGGCAATGTTGAATAGTATTTCTTTTATTCCACAACTCTCAGACCATGATTCTTGGTTTGCTAGTAAGAGCCACTGATAAGAAATAAAGAACAAGTCTCTGGTTTTAGTTAAACTTGTATCACTTATTATAGGAAATCTTGCTTCTCTGAAGCAGCCTTCTTAATCATTAGGTTACAAAGATCAACTTTTTAAAAAGATCAGACCTAGCCATGTACTGAAGTTCTTGACCTGAACCACTTTCCAAAATCACACACACACACACACATATATATATATATATATATATATATATATATATATATATATGTGTGTGTGTGTGTATGTAATGTATTTTTGTGAGAGAGCGTACTGTAAGGTTCTTGGCCTGCTCATCCATGGTAATTTATTTCTCATATTCCTTTAAACATTCCTAACAAAATTCTGATTTTTTGCCATGTTGAACCATTAGTGCCCATACAATTACCGAATTTAAGGAATGTCAAGTCTAGTCAGTAGCTAGATGGGTGACTGTCTTGGGAATACCAGGTCCTGCAAGCTTCAATGTGTAGGTGGTATAATGAATAATGGCTTGGAATTGTTAATTGGATAGCTGATTTCTAATTCCTGTTCGGTTTATTATATTCACTTATGTAAAAATACCCTGTGCATGAATCAACCTCTTCACTCCCAGCTATGAGTTAATTAGTAAGATTTGTATTGCTAAAACTATTATCTGCAAAAATAAACATTACAATCTAAAAATATTTTCTGGCTTTGAATTACCTGCAAAGGGTTAATAAGCTGTATAATACAAATTAATCAGATTTTGCATAGAAGGTCAAACGAAGAATATTTCAGAATTTTTTGTTGCTTCGATTTTTTTTTTTTTTAATTTGTCTCAGAATATGTGATATACCAACATCTGTGTTACATATATTAGCATTCTTAGCATCATTGGAATAGTGAAATTTGCCTTCCAAAAGCTAAACAAGGTTTTAAGAAACAGGAAAGTTTAAGTGGAAACAAAGAAAAGAGTGCTGAACTGATATATAATATCAGTCCTTCTATACTGCAGTGAATGCTGAACAATCTCCTCACAGGTGAAGAAGAGGCTTGAGACAACAGAAATGTAGTTCTACGGAAGGATGCTGAGAATATGGTGAACCAAACATCTGAGCAACAGCAAAGTTTTAGGGAAAATGGTGACATAAAGACGCTTATATTTTCAATCAGTTGGAATTTTCAAAAAAGAGGGCTTGAAGAATTTGACATATTGAAAGCAAGAGAAGCAAAGAAAAGCCATAAATATCCTTAACAAGCTTGGTTGGCAGGATAGAGATTAAGAGAGATTCTCTGTAGATTGTAATTTGTTTCAATTTTATTTTATCCACTTAGTAGGAACATTTTATCTTGATGATTCTCAATAAAAAGATCATTTTATTTTGTCTAAAACTGTTTAATTAATTAGATGTTCTAATAATGTACCCAATATAATTTGAATCTGTCTAATTTGTTCATTTTACTAAATCTTAATTTATATAGTTTTAAAGTTTTTCTTCACAAATACTACAGAAACGTTAACCTATTTTTGCATCCAGTTTACTGCAGTCAATACCTAATATCACAATGTAAATGTGAAAGTTGTGCATATTTTTAAATCCTTCTCTTTATCAAATCAATAGAGAATTGACAGAATGAATTGTTGAAGAATAAAGTATATATATGTATAATCAGAGAACAATATTTAAGAAGTTGTGGAGAGCTATGAATTGTCTACATCATGAATTGACAAAACACATAAAAGAAATATTCCATCTCTTAGATGATGTCAATTTTAAATAGCATTTCTTTCATCTTGTCTCTTTTGAATTTGATTTCAAATCTAAGACTTACTCTTTAATGATTAGTAAGTAGTATTGATCAGATATGGAATGATAACTTTAATGATGATAACTCATCATCATTAGAGCATTTTTTTTTTTTACTTGAAGATATACTGCAAATCAGTGTGATTTCTCATCTTAAGCAACTTTGTAAATATCTGTCCTCTCCAAGCCTTCTTGTCTTGTGCTAACTCTTAAAAGTACTGCAGGTCTTCTAAGCTCTTCAAAGTTTTACAGGGAATGGTGGGATTTTATTGATAGTTCTTCCGATGTCACTACTTAATATGAATACTATGGTTGTCAGTCCTATGTCTACAGATATTATTTTTCCATTTGGTATTGATGACAAAACTATTTCCATAATATTTACTGTTTCCAAAGCTATTAACTTATGATGTTTAACTCCAATATTAATGTCAAGTTCCTTCTTTGATTTTGGTTTTGTTTGTGACAACATTCATCTGTGTTATGGATATCAATGTCCCAAGCCAATAATTCCAGCTGCTCTTTTTACACAAGTTCTCTACCATTAAATGTCTCAATGCTAAAATCTTTATATGCAATAGGAGTTGTTTACACTGTTTTAAGTTACCAACATTTATCAACTAGAGAAACCATTATTTACACCATTTATATTCAGAATATAGTCCTCATCTTTGTTGTTTTTATCACAACATTTCAGTTGTCATGCCTTGCAGTTTCCCCCAAGTGTATATCAATCTGGGTAACCCATGATTGGTTCTTTAATTTATCTATGGAGGTAGACTGTTCTCGTTCCACTGCTCATGTCTGAGGAGATCATCTAGTTCTTATTTTATTTAGTACTGTTTGCACATTATCTTCTCCACCAAATTGATGGTGATGATAATAAAGGATTGTGCACACTGAAAAGCATTGGCTGACAACTTTTAATTTTTTAAAGCAATTCTTATTTTTCCACTCTGTACTGTGTCCCTTCAAAACACAGGTGATCATGATTCTATAATTTCCTGTTCTTTGTTGTTCTTAGTAAGGTTTGTCTTTTTGCTATGCCTCTTAGTCCCAGTTCTACCAGCCATTTATACAAGCTCATTAGATAGGTTATTCACTGTTTTCCTCGTACCTTCAATATGTCCTGTGTGCATCAAATTTTCCAAGTCCTCTTTCTTCATTATGTGCCCTAGAAATTTCAACTCCATCTTTCTGATTCTAATTGTAAGTGTCCTTGTTTCCATTTTTCCTAAAAATTTCTTGTTGCTCACATTTCAAGTATTCTCAGCATCCTTCTGTAGAAGCACATTTGCCTTAGATCTTTTATTCATGCAAAGCAAAACACAAATATCAAAATGAGATGTTTGTGTAAATGATAATTTAAGTCTTTAAAATGTCTTCCTTTAGCAGTAAGTCATAGCTTACATTGTTGAGAAATAGACTTGAAATTATCAGCTGTTATCTTTTTGTAATTATGAAGCAATTTTCTTTGTCGTCTGTAAAGTAAGTGTTTTAGTTTTTTGTGGTACAAACTTTGTCCTTAGAAAAAAGTAAGTACAAATGATGACTACATTGAATATTTGCTAACTCTTCAACATCTAATTTATCTACCTGGAAATATTTCATTAGCTTTTTAAATGCAGGTGATGGGAATTTTGCTGTGAGTTTGACAACTGGGCTATAAATGTTGGTAATTTCTACTGAATTCATTGGGATTGTACTTGTCTCTTTTAATAAAATTTATTAAAAGAGACAAGGCTTATTCAGATCAAAAGTTTCAACACATTAGCGGAAGAGTTGTAGAATACACTGTGAGATAACAATAAGCGGCTGGGCTGCTGCTGAAAAAAAGTTTTGTTATCACTGAGGGGTACTAAAAATAAGAACTAGAGATATCAATGGACAGTGGAATGAGAACAGTCTACACTTATAGATTAAATAAAGGGCTCAGTTTGAAATTCCCTGTAGGCTACCCAGATTGATATACACCTGGGGAAGGCTGGAGATCACATCAGACATGTAATGGAGTGGGGAAAC